TTTGTGTGTGGTGTGTGTGTGGGGTGTGTGTGGTTTGTGTGCATGTGTGTGTGTGGCGTGTGTGTGGTGCGTGTGGTGTGTGTGTGGTGTGTGTATGTGCGTGGTATGTGTGTGCATGTGTGCATGTGTGTGGTGTGTGTGTGCTGTGTGTGTGGTGTGTGTATGTGTGTGGTGTGTGTGTGCATGTGTGCATGTGTGTGGTGTGTGTGTGTGGTTTGTGTGTGGGGTGTGTGTGGTTTGGTGTGTGTGTGGGGGGGTGTGTGGTGCGTGTGGTGTGTGTATATGTGGTGTGTGGTGTTTGTGTGTGATGTGTGTGTGTGGTTTGTGTGTGGTGTGTGTATATGTGTGGTGTGTGTGTGCATGTGTGTGGTGTGTGTGTGGTGTGTTTACACAGTGAACCACCTGCCACCTCTGGCTGAGCATGGGCCTGGTGTGGGCGTGACCAGGGCTGCTGGCTCCAGTGTCACCCAGCCCTGACTCCCAGGTGTTGGCCTGCTTCACATTTGCATATTCATGGCCTGAAATCGATTTTATTTCCTCAGGAAGAGTCTAACCCTTTTGCAAATGCCAGCTATAGAGGTTTATTTTTCTCCCGGAGAGCAGTAAGAGTGAAGGCTGAGGCCGAGACGGAAGGACGGAAGGACGGGACTTAGAAGCCAGCGAGCCCGGAGCCCTGAGATGCACTCCGAGGACACGGGGCTCTGGGAAGCCGGGCAGGGCAGGGGTTGATCTTGGCTTCGCCGACAGTGCCACGAGGTCGGGCACCATCTCCACTCGCAGGCAGGCCTGTCCTCTGCAGCCCGAGGTCCCCGTGGCACCACCGTCCAGATGCTGAGATAATTCTGCCGGGGCACTGGCTGATGGGTGATGGGCGGTGGCTGCTGTGTGAGTTCTGCATTGATCTTGCTGAGTGTCCACAGCAGAGCGGCAGTGCTGTCAGAGTCTCCACTCCCACCCTCTCCCAGGACTCATCACCCACTGCTGCTGTCAGCTGTGAGTCTTCAGGAGGGGTCCCACCTGACGTGCAGCTCCCCTCCCGCCCACATCTTGGCTTCGCCGTCTTCCCTGGCTGCCAGCCCCTTCCCCTGGTCTCGGTTGGCTCAGGCCACTAAATTGAAATATCGCACCCTGAGGCCTTCAACAGCAGACCTGACTTCTCACCATCTGGAGGCTGGAAGTCCAGGGTCCAGGCCCCCCGCGCTGCTTTCCCCGGCCCTCCCTCCGTGGCTCGCAGACATCACTCTCTTGCTGCCTGGTCTCGGGGCTGCCCCTCTGGGCATGCAGACCCCTGGCGTCCCGTGTTCTTATAAGGATGCCAGTCATACTGGATCCGGGCCCACCCTAATGACCTCATTTACCTTAATCAGTTCTTGAAAGACCTTGTCCCAACAGCAGTCACATTCTGGGGTACTGGGAGTTAGCATGAGAATTTGAGGGACGCAGTTCATCCCATAAAACCGCAACTGTTCCCCCAATAAATCACATTCACAAGTGCTCTCCCCTCAGACTTCGCTTCCGGGGGATTCCCCCCTGAGATGGATCCATCCAGGTTCCCGTTTCTCAAAGAAAGGAGGGGTGAGCCCGGTGTGAAGGGAACAGCTCGCCTTGGGGACTGGCAGATAAGCTGCTGGCACTGCCAGGGCCAGGCTGGGCCTCAAGCCCAGAGGAGAGAGGTGAGGCCCGCGGCTGGACCTCATTCTTCTGAGTATTATAAAATCTGGCTTTGTCCAGAAACGGCCCCATGTGTCCTTTTGTTAATTGAAGTGTCAGATTTTCTCCAAGTAATAATTGGAGTCGTTTAACAATACAAATCATCTGCACCTTAATTTGGTGGGTAGACACTCTTGCTGATTCCTGGAGACTCAGAGGAGCAAAGTGATCACGAATTCCAAGAGTGGAAACAAATCCAGCCTGCAGATTTCACCCTGGCTTCTTCCTCGCCGGTCTGGGAGCTGCCCCGGGGGCCTGGAACCTTCAGCCACTACCGGCTACCGGGCTCAGCCAGTGTCCTTGGGAGCCAGGTCCCGCGGTGGCTCCCAGCCCCAGAGCCGACTCTGCCGGGGGTGGGACAACACAGAGTTTAATTAACCTCTTGGCTTTTTCCATCTGTGAAGCAGAACTTGGGATGCTTGTCACCCCACCAGCCAGGAGGCCATGAAGATGGATGCATCTGTTTTTAGAAGACCTCTGTGCCAGCAATGAAAGACCTCAAAGCTCTAATACCCTGCTCAGCAAACAAGGAGAGAACTCGCACAACCAGGAGACGGTCTCCTTGTGCACAGGGAACGTTGGATTCAATGTGTGGTGGAGCCTGAGGCACACGGCAGTGCGGCCTCCCTGAAGCTGCAGCCCCCGCCCTGGGTTCCAGAGTCATGCGGCCTGGGGAGCTCACGTCCTGGCCTGTTTGGTCACCCCCATTCTTTGAGGGCATCCTTCTACTCAAAGTGTCGGGATGGGAGCAGGGAGGGGGGGTCCGGCTTTGCTAATTTCTTTTTTTTTTTTTTTTTGAGACGGAGTTTCGCACTTGTTACCCAGGCTGGAGTGCAATGGCGCGATCTCGGCTCACCGCAACCTCCGCCTCCTGGGTTCAGGCAATTCTCCTGCCTCAGCCTCCTGAGTAGCTGGGATTACAGGCACTTGCCACCATGCCCAGCTAATTTTTTGTAGTTTTAGTAGAGACGGGGTTTCACCATGTTGACCAGGGTGGTCTCGATCTCTTGACCTCGTGATCCACCTGCCTCGGCCTCCCAAAGTGCTGGGATTACAGGCGTGAGCCACCGCGCCCGGCCGCTAATTTCTTTTTAAGTACAGTATTATTATTTTTAAGACGAAATCTTGCTCTGTCACTAAGGCCGGAGTGCAGTGATGTGATCTCGACTCACTGTAACCTCTGCCTCCCAGGTTCAAGCGATTCTCCTGCCTCAGCCTCTGGAGTAGGTGGGACTACAGGTGTGCACCACCACGCCCGGCTAATTTTTATACGGGGTTTCACTATGTTGAACAGGCTGGTCTCGAACTCCTGACCTCAGGTGATCCACCCGCCTTGGCCTTCCAAAGTACTGGGATTACAGGTGTGAGCCACCGTGCCTGGCCTAGTGCATTATTTTTTAAAGTGGTAAATCATCTGTCTGTGTGTGTTTAATTACTAGTGACTAGGTACTGTTCAACTCATTTATTTGGGGACAGGCTCCTATCTAGTGTCCCACCACTATATTACTTAGGCCAGGATAGATACACACAGTGGAGGAAAGGCTGGAAGATGACTCTTATGTCTAAGGTTCACTCTGGGAAAGCACAGAGCTAGAGTTTGCTCAGAACCTGGCTCCCGCAGGTGGGCACCGCTGACTGACAGCTGGAAGATTCCAGATTCCCAGTGCGCCGGCTTCTTGAAGTGGCATGAACCCTGGCAGGCTCTTTGAAGTTTGTGCCCAAAAACGGTGGAGTGGGGGTCTGTGCAGGAGCCAGGCCACCTGTGCTCAGAATCAGCGGGTTTCTCTTGTCTGTCAGTCAGGGGTGCGGGCATGTCAGGGCACTCCTGGGAAGAAGGGTGAGGGCCTGTGGGCCTCAAGCTGGCGGTACAGGCAGGAAGGCTCACCTGCCAAGGACAGAAGTCAAAACCAACAGGGGAGCTCTCCAGGGGAGGGGCTTTCAAGCCCTGGCACCACCCAGACTTCACCTGAGAGATGTTGGACCAGGTGTCAGTAGACAGCCCGCCATCAGGGCACACAGACTGTTGAAACAATGAGCAGTCCTCTTCCTGGACCACACGGTGGTCAGTCCTCCCCAAGAGCCCACAGCCCGGCCAGCAGCTGCTGGCAGCGGCTGGCCCTGGTTTCCCCAAGGCCCCAGCAGCTCTGCCCATCTACACAGCCCCTCGCCACTGCCATCGATGGTGTGGACATGTCAGTCTCCAGGCTGCTGCAGGGCCTGCCCCTGGTGGGGGCTATGATATTGGTGGTTCCATTGAGGGGCTCCCCTGGCCTCCCCTGGCTGGCTGGGGTGGGTGAGGTGACATAAATACACTGAGCAAGTAGCTCTGCAGACCACCGGATCAGCAGTGTCCCTTGTGGCCACAGTGTGGCTTTAAAGTGGGCCCCAGAGGTGGCTCTCCAGGCCGTCTGGTTGGGCTGTTCTGAGGCATATCTGCTCCTAGGACTGCCCATTCATTACGGCCAAATGAGCAGGCACAGGCACTGACCCCAGATGAGGTTTCTCGGGGCCTCCAGGGGTGGGAGACCCCCCGCCTCCAGCAGCCTCAAGGCACTCAGAGGCCTGGCTCCTCAGGGTTGAGCTCAGGTCTGCAGTGAGCAGGGGGTCTTCCTCCTGCTGCTCCCCGCTGCCTGGGCAGGCTGTGGCCCCCCGGGGGGCTGCCTGCCCACCGCTGCCTGCCAGGAGTGCCAGGGTCTTTTGTGAAATAATCACATTACTCAAATTCAATCCTTTAACAAACAGTACATTTTTGCATGTATTTTGTAGAGTGGCATATGCCTCAAAGTTCTACAGGCACCACAGGGTATCTATTCTGTGAAGCCTTCCTTCCACCCGCTCCCTGCCCGCCCGCCGAGACAAGCAGCGTGGCCAGCTGTGGTAAGCGTCCTTCTGTGCATTAATGAGTGAGCAGGCACAAGCATTGTCTGCGCCTCTGTGCTGAGGTGGGGGCTCTCCGTGCGTGTTCTTCTGCACTCTCGCTTTTTCAGCGAGTGCCATGCGTCAGAGCTCTTTCCCCAGCACCACACAGCCCCAGCCTTTCCCGTGGCTGAGTGGCAGCCCATTGGAGGGCTCATAACTACCCATGGATATTTAGGTTGCGTTCAGGCCTTTGCCATTAAAAACAACGCTACCACACTGTGCTCTGCAGTATGCCAGCATGTGTGCACGTGTGTCTGCAGTGGGGAGGGGTGGTCACGGGGTGCAGCTGCAGGGCTGCACAGTATGTGTGCACGTGTGTCTGCAGCGGGGAGGGGTGGTCAGGGGGTGCAGCTGCGGGGCTACATAGCACATGTGCACGTGTGTCTGCAGCGGGGAGGGGTGGTCACGGGTTGCAGCTGCAGGGCTGCACAGTATGTGTGCATGTGTGTCTGCAGCGGGGAGGGGTGGTCACGGGGTGCAGCTGCAGGGCTGCACAGCATGTGGGCATGTGTGTCTGCAGCAGGGAGGGGTGGTCAGGGGGTGCAGCTGCAGGGCTGCATAGCACGTGTGCATGTGTGTCTGCAGTGGGGAGGGGTGATCAGGGGGTGCAGCTGCAGGGCTGCACAGTACGTGTGCATGTGTGTCTGTGTGGGGAAGGGTAGCGTCAGGGGTGCAACTGTGGGGCTGCACAGTACGTGTGCACGTGTGTCTGTGGTGGGGAGGGGTGGTCTCAGGTGCAGCTGCGGGGCTGCACAGTATGTGTGCATGTTGCATCTGTGGCCGGCGGGTGGTCTCGGGTGCAGCTGATGCATCTGGACTTGCACTGCATTTGCATCTGTGCTTGCACTTGCGTTTACATGTGCATTGGGGCTTGCAGCTATATTTGCCGTAGAACGGGGTGGTCACTCTCAGGTGGCTCTGCATGCGATGTGTCTCTGGCTATCCCTGGCCCGGGGGTGCTCTTTCATTCTTGACTTCACTAAAGGACAGCAGGCCTGGCAGTCAGCATCCTGTGAGGGACACCAGCCAGTCTAGATGTTCCAACAGAGGAATTTTAACACCAGGAATCAGCTACCGAGGTGCCAGAAGAGCAGAAGGGAGAAGCGTGTTCAGGGGAGGCCAGGGCAAGAGGGCACTCCCGGAGACAGGAGCTGCTCCTGCCCACGAAGTCTGTGCTGCTGAGCTGTATCTGGCTGTGGATGTGCTGCTGAGGGGCCGCCTCCAGCAGGGCGAGGACACCTGCCCTGACCCTAGTGGCCACCAGTGCCAACTGGAAGCAAGAAGCATTGCCCCTCCTCCTGCAGCAGAGCTGGCCGAGGCACCTATGGGCATGAGAGCTCTGGAAGTGAGTGTGCAGCTTCCAGGTCCCTAGAAACAAAGTGTGGGGCTGAGAGCAGAGGTGCCAGCAATGTGCAGTAGGCCCTGCGCCCGCCCTGCGGTGGCCTCAGCACGAGGCCAGGCTGTCCTGTTGGCTGTGACCCAGCAGCGGCCTGGGCTGTGCTGGCCCAAGGACTCCATCTCTGTCGTTCGAAACTCCGCGACGCCCAATACCACTTTAGTCCCACATCCTCTGTGCTGGGGGCCATTCTTGGTGCTGGGGCCCTCATTAGATACTCAGTTTGCCCAGCCAGGGGAGCAGGAGCTGCTGTCCTGGGCTCTTTGCTGGCACCAGACACATGTAGCTTCTATCCAGGACGCATCCTGGAGGACTGAGGGACCCTCACCTGCTACAGCTGGAAGCCCCTCAGGCAGGGCTCTCCGACAGCCACCTAGCACCAGCAGCAGGTGTCACAGAGGGGACTTGGGACTGAGGGCTGCTTGTGACATGTCGCCCTGGGCTTTTGGGAACAGCCTCTCTGGGGAGGAAAGGGGGACTGGCCCTTCTGTGACATGGACCACGCAGGGCCAGCCCTGAGGGTCCTTGCCAGGAAAGGGGAGCAGAGCTGCCTTCTGTCCCCATGGAGAAAATTGAGACCATGCTGGCAGCCATCGGCTGGTCAGGCTTGACCCCTGGGGGTCTGGGGCTGCAGCACAAAGCACCGCAGACCGAGGGTCCAGACCACAGACGTCCACTCTCTCGAGGTGCTGGGGGCCAGAGGCCAGAGATGGTGTCAGGAGGGCTGGTTCCTGCTGGGGCTGTGGGCAGTGTCTGTCCGGGCCTCTCTCTGTGCCTCTGGGACCCCTGGCATTCCCTGGCTGGTGGAAGCAGCGTCCCAGTTCCCGTCTGCTTCCCACCTCACACACGCTCTTCAGAGCTTGTCTGTGTCCAGATCTCCCCTTTCCGGAATGCTAGTGGTCACTGGAACAGGGACACAGCCTACCCCAGCAGGCCTCCTTTTAACGAATTCCACCTGCAAAGAGCCTGTTTCCAAATGAGTCACACTCTGAGATAGTGGGGGTCACGACTTCAGCATATACATGGGGAGTGGGATGGAGACAGATGTAACTCAACCCAGAACAATCCCCTCATAAGCAAAGAACTTCTTTCTCCAAACAGAAAGAAAGAAGTCTTAGCGGCCTGTTACATTAAACTGGAGACCAGGCCCCAGGAGGCTCAAGCGGATGGTGCCAGGCAGGCCTCACAAGTGACCTCACCCTTGCTTGATTTGCAGAGGTAAGCGAAACCGAGCTGTTTCTTGCAAATGCCTACGTTAAGGAGAAACAGAACTTAAGCTCCACCAATCAGAGGCAGCCAACAACCTTACATAACCAGGGACTTTCCAATGGGATGGGCCCCATAAAGCAGCTGTGTACCTGCAGCCAATCAGATACTTTCTCTGCTTTACCTGAGGCAACTCTGTACCTGCGGCCAATCAGGTGCTTTCTCTTCTTTACATTAGGCAACTACAAACCTGCAGCTAATCAGATACCTTCTGTCCTTGCAGAGCTGCCCCTGTGTTCCCTTGGTGGAGCTCCTGGTTCACTCTGGTGTGGGGCTGCCCAATTCATGAATGGCAATTTGCTCAAGTCAACCCTTTAAAAAGTGTATTATGCCTCAGTTTACCTTTTTAAAAGAGACCTCAACTTGAAAGGCAGGTCAAGAACAGGAGTAGGGAGTTCTCAAGGATGTCAGTATGAGTGACCACTGAACACCAGGAAGAAGTCTCGACTCATCAGTCGACAAAAGAAGGCACATCTGGTCACCAGTTTCGCTGTTGAACTGGTGAACTTTTATTTAACCGATAATCCTCCGTGGAGTGTAAATGCAGGTGGACTTTTGGAGGATATTGTCAACAAGAACCTGCAACCCAAAAATGTTCCTTCAATTCTGGGCTTCTATTTCTGATCCTCTAACATAAGGAAAGATCCCAAGATATGGGAAAATATTGATGCAAAAAAGATTCATCTCAGCGTAATTAAAAAATCCACAGAAGCAAATCCAATATGGCAAAAGGGGAGATTTGGGTATATCCGTAGGAGAGAATGCCATACAATCATTACAAATTGCATTGAGAAAGGGTACCAATGGCGCTGGGGATCCCTGTAGTTATAGTGTTGAGCTACAAAAGTGAGCTAAGCTTACACACACACGCATACACCCCACACACGCACACCACACACACACCCCACACACACAGGTTGGATGAGAATCATACCCCGGCGTGCGTTTACAGAGGTATGACTGACTGTCAATGCGAAGAGGCCATGTCCCAGAAGGGAGATTTTTATATTTGCAAGAGGAGGGAGGCAGGAAGTTTCAGTTAGGTTGGGCAGGAGCAGGCACCAGCCTTTCTTGTGGTTTCCTTGGGAAGGGCAGGGCAGGGAAGGCGGGTGGGCAGCTCAGGACTGGCTGGCCAGAACAATTCTGGTGGACTTTGGGGCATAGGGGCTGTCCCTGCTTGCCTGGCTCTGGGGTCATCTAGGGCAGGGAAAATGCTGGCTTGGTGTACGAGTGAGATGAAGCCGGTGGTTAGGGTATAGACAGGATTGCCTGCTCTAGGTCAAGCCCTGTGTTGGCTCCAATATCAGCCAGCTCTGGGAGGGTTGGTCTGCAAGGGTCCCTGCATGCCAGAGCATCAAGAATATAGAAAATAAGAAAATTATAGTGAATCCAATTGGCCCTGTGACAAATGGATGCCAAAAAGACAAATACAGAGTCTCAGAAAACCCAGCTAGAACACACACACACACACATGCATATACACACATACAGGCACACACACACATGCATATACACATACACACACACATGCATATACACACGTACACACATACAAACACACAAACATGTATATACACACATACACACATGCATATATGCACATACACATACATACACACACATATACACACATACACACATATGCATATACAGACACACATGCACAAACACATACAGACACACATGCACATGCAAGCCCACACATACACATGTATATATACACATACACATACAGGCACACACATACACACACATGTATATACACACATACACACCTACACATGCATATACACACATACACGCATATATGCACATACACATACACACATGCATGTACACACATATGCATATACATACATACAGACACACATGCACACACACATACAGACACATGCACATGCAAACCCACACATACACATGCATATACACACATACACACACACCCACACATACATATACACACATATACACACACATGCATATACACACATACACATACACCCACACATACCCCCCACACACATGCATATACACACATACACACATAGACACACACACACACACACACAAACCCACACACACATATACACACACATACACACATGCATATACACATATAGGTGCACACACGCGCATATACACTTACACACACATATAGACACACACATAGACACACACATACACAACACACATACCCACACATACACATACACATGCACACACACACGCACACACACACACATTGTTTATGTTGTTGAAATGCACAGGAACAGGCAGCGCCGGAAGGAAGCATTCCACAATGTTGATGGTGTTCTCTTGCTGTTGTGAATATATGGTGGTTTTTCTCCTTCTGTTTCTTGTAATGGTCTTAATTTTCAAACTCTCTATCAATGAATATGTATTATTTTTATAGTCAGGAAAAAAGGGTTTAAATTATTTATGTGGCTTCCTGGACAGGAGGCCTCGGCTGGGGCCACCCTGAACCCAGCAAGCCCTGCTCCCACACCTGCTGGGCTGGGGACCCTGCTGGGCTGGGGACCCTGCAGCACTTCATGTCACTCAGGCACGGTGTCTCCTGCTGATGTCTCCCGGAGCCAGGAGGAAAAGCGTCGGAGAATCGTGTGTGGTGACACTGGCAGTTGGATGGGACCCAGGACCACTATTCCATAGATGGTGTCCTGGGCCCTGGGGAGCCCCTGTCCTGAGGACAGCAGGTTCAGCGCAAGGGACCAGGCATCCTCCTCGCCCTCCTCAGCTGCCACCTGAGCCTGGGCGGGGGAACTGGCCAGGACTCAACAGTGCCCTCACCAAGGGGTGGGACCTGCGTGGCAGGCACACTGTTGGGATGGCAGGCCCTTGGGGTCTCAGCCTTCATCTGTACACTGCCACCCTGCAGCCCTCCCAGACGTCCACCCCAACAGGGGGCCAGGGCCCTGATCTGCCTGGGACTTCCTTGGTTTCAGCACTAAAAGTCCCACACCCCCTAGTCCAGGCCGAATGGAGAGGGTTGCTCACCTGTGTTCAATGTCCCCTCAGAACCCTGAGCCATGCAGGCCCTCACATCCCCATGCTTCCACCCCCGTCTCACCCCAGATCTGGTCTGAGTGGGAGTTGGTCCCACAGTCCTGATGGCCTCTGACAGTCACAGTTCCCTGGGGTCTGCAGCCAGCCACCTGGGGCTGGCACAGAAGGTCTTGGAGCGGAGGGAGGTGTCAGAGGGCTTCAATGCACCCCTGCACTTGGGGCTGTCCCCCCAAAGGTCCTGGGGGGGCTATCCCCCACACGCCCCTCCTGCCAGATGCTGGACCACCTGTGATGGGGCGGAGGGACTGCGGGTTAGCTCCATCTGGAAAACAGTGTGTGTGACAGAAACAGGGCGAGAGAGGATGACAGGGGAGGGGGGATGGGCCGGGAAAGAGTGATCTTGGGGAGGAAGAGAATTCCCTTGGGATTCTACCCTGAGGTGACCGGATAGCTCCTGCTCTGGAACTGCCTCAGTTCAATGGTGGCCTTCAAGAGGTACAGGGACTTTAAACCGCAGTCACTACATAGGAAACATCGGTTTGAAATTATGGCAAAATACACTTTTGCTGATCAATTGGCTCCATTGTGTATACGCAGAATCTACACACACATTCGTGTGACATCAGAACTAGGACTTGAGGCAATTTTAATGCAGAATTGAGGAAAATGAACATGCGCAGCCGATTCCAAAACCAGCCCTTTCAGCCTGCATCCCAGGGGCCCAAAGACACCTCCCTGGGAGTCAGAAGACAGAAGCTGGAGTCTCAGCTGTGCCACGGAGCGCCCTGGGACTTAAGATGTCACTCGCCTCGGTTTCCCCAGATAGGGTGAGAGAAGGAGGTGGCCTCTTACCTTCCTTCCTTTGCACACAATGGCTTCCTCCATGAAGGCCACCAGGGCCATGGAAATGAGCGGCAGGCCCAGCTTCTGGTGGCACAGCCAACCCTTCCTCGGGAGCCCCTCCCCAAGGGTGGGGCAGGGGACAGAGGCTGCAGCTCCAGCCTCCTAGGCTGAGCTTGGACAGGGCCTCGGGGGGATATGCTGGCTGCCCTCCACCCTCCCCCGGGAGCTGGCTACCTCCTCCTCCAGCTTCAGCCCCTGGACCCCTTAAGAAGCAAGCGCCCCTTTAGGGCCTGTGCTGGAATCCAAGACGCTGGTCTTTATTCAGGTCTCTGCCAGCCGTGCTTGCCAAGAGATGTCTCAGTCTCTTGTCAGACACACGCACGGCTTCCAGCAGGACACCGGTAAGTTCCTGCCTATGAAATGATGGTTTCCACAGTAGCTGCAGGCAGGGAAACGGGAAGGGTTAAACTGGCTTCCTGCCCTGGGACATTTGGGGATTTTTATCACACGTCACTGTCTGTGACAGCCTCTGGGCCTTTGGAATATTCTGGCACAACTGCCGGCTCCTCGGGCTCATCTTGGCTAAGCAACCAGTTCACAGGCGGGGCCGTGGCACCCCAGACAGGTCAAAAGCAGATTGGGACGAGACTGGCAGCGACGGGAGGAGGGCTCCTCACAGGGAAACGCAGTCTGCGCCACCCTGATTGTCTCGGGCTGCCCAGGGCAGGTCCAAGGCGGTGGGTTTCTGGGTGTGTCACCTGCTCTCCCAGGCGTGTGGGCCCCGCCCCCGGGCCCTGCTTCCTCGCTGAGGCTGGGACCCCATCCCGCTGGGCCATGAGCTCCCAGGAGCTGTTTTGCCGTGAGCCTGGCTGGGTCCTCCAGGGTCTCCTCTGGGAGCTGAGGGAAAACTCGTGGAGCTTCAGGATTTTGAGAGTTGCAGGAAATAAGACCTACACTTGAAATAACTTTAAGCAAAAAAGGAAGTTTGTTTCGAGTCCCTGGAGAAGCTGGGCTTGGGGCCTTTGGCAACCCAGCCCCCTGCTGCTATCCACTCTGTTTCTCTCTGGGTGGGGCCTCTTTCTCTACTCGGACAGATGGAACTCCTTCCGGGCCCGGCCTGGCCGCACAGCACCCCACAGCCTGCATGGTGGCCCAGTGGGGATCCCTCCAGCCCCAGAGGCAACAGGCCCCCCACTGATGCCACGGGGGCAGGAAGGGGCTGGGATATGGCTAGTGGGAACCACACCCAGTGTCCGCCACGCCCCCAAGACCCCTAGGGGCCCTGAGGTAGGGACAGGAGTTCCAGCCCAGGCCCCGATGCCCAGTGCCACGTGCCCTGTCCAGTGAGCCCCTTCAGCGTCCTGGGTCTGTGGGCCTGCGGCCGTGGCCAAGTTCAGCCTGCCCATGTCTGACCACAGGCTGGGAATGATTCTAACATTTATAGATGGTTGGGGGAAAAAAGGCTTTGTGACACATGAGAGTTACACAGAATTCCCATCTCCGGGTCCATAAACACAGTGTAATTGGCACAAGCCAAACCCACGTTTGTGGCTGCCTCTGCACTTTGAGGCCAGAGACCACGAGGCCCCTTCCAGAGACGGCGTGCTGACCACAGCTGCAGGCAGGAGTGCGGCCTCCGGCTGCAGCCACTCACCAGACATGGCAGGCTCTCAGCCACACCTGAGGTGCGATTCGAGTTTCTCATTCAGCCGGCTCCGCTGACAAGGAACTCAGCCTCCGCCAAAAACTCCAGAACCCTTCATCTTGGTCTTTACGCCCTACATTTTTTTCTAATACACAAGAAAACCAACCCATGACTGTTCAAAAGGAGACACTAAAATCACAATCCAAGCAGGCACCCTAAGGCCCTGGCTGATTTGAGGCCTCTTCCCACTGGGTGTCCTAGGGTCCCTGGGCCCTGACGTCCCTTCCCTGCCTGGGCTGTGACAGTCACGACTAGCAGGGCCAGGGCTGGGCTGGAGGCTGGTGCTGTGGGCGAGAAGGAGCCTGCCGGGCACATCTGTCCTCCTTGTCAATGCTGAGCAGTGAGGCGTGGCTCCATCACGTGCTGGGGAAGAAAGGAATTCACAAAGGGCTAAGCTCTTCCTGCTCTCCTCAGAGGAATGGAGGGGCCGCTGACTGCTGTTTCCTGGAAATCTGTGCACCAGTCAAGTGGGGCATCTGTTTCTCGGGCCCACGGTCTGACCCGTCAGGTGTGCTTTGGGGCAGTGGGGGAACCATCTGGAAGGCGTGGGTCCCTGCTTTCTGTAGGGTTGGGGTCCATCCCTGCCTTTGTAACTGGGCCTGGTGAGAAGGGCCGGCCCTGGGGTCCCCGCCACATGGCCTGAGGTTGAGGTAACCACAGAGTTCTTTGGTGTCAGTGGCGGTGGGGGGTGAGGGCCAAGGACCTCTCAGTACCAACTAGAAGGTCAGGTGCAGCCACCTGAAGCTGCTGGCGGGTTCCAGGGCATGTGGACTCCCCATTACACCCGAAACAGACAGATAGGGGCGCCGCCATAGCTCCCCAAGAGGTATGGAGACCTGGGTGTCTGACCCCCTCAGTGTGGTCTGGGAGCTGCCAGATGAGGGACACGAAGATCCAATCCAGAAGCGTTCTGCTGGGGCTGCTGTCTCGGCCCAAGCTGCAGAGGCCGGCGTACTTGTTCCTGGCACAGGGGTCGGTCAGCCACGGGCCGGGAAGCAAAGGCTCGAAGACCTCGCTCCTCAGCCTGTGCAGGCAGGCGGTGGTCACCCTCCTGACCCGGGGCCCGGGACTCCTGGGTGGCATGTGCCGTGGGGGCACTGGCACAGAAGAGGCCCTCCAGGGGCCCACAGGGGCTGCCCCTCCCCAAGCAGCCAGGCCAGGCACCCGGCGGCCTGGGCTAGGACCTCCTCTGGGCCTTTGCTGCACCATCTCCCAGCCGTGCTCAGTGTGCCCCAAGCTGGAGAATGGTGACTGACCATGGGTGACTGGGACCCTCCAAGCTCGGCAGAGGCTGTGTGTGCTTCCCCTGAGGCGGGCCTGCCGTCCACAGACTCTCACTTCAAGCTGCCTCTGCCCTTGGGAGCCCTCTGGAATGAGGGGATGCAGGAGAGACCCGGATGGAGGCTGCCTGGTCCTTGGGGCGGGTGAAAGAGGTGTCTTCTGCAGGAGGAGGGGGTGGTGGAGCTCAGCAGGCCCGTGAGAGGGGCCTCCCTGATGGCCAGAGATCCAGAGGAGGAAGCAGCGTGGATTAAAACGGGGCCAGGACAGGCTCGGGCAGGGGTGCTCCAGGAAGGATGGAGGGGCGCAGATAAGAGCAGAGGAAGCCGCAGGGAGGGCCTCCATCGGGGGAACAGGCCCCCCATCAGCGCACGTGGCCAGGCCAGAGTGCTTTCTTACTCACAGCTCCCCAGACTTGCCTGTTCCCATCGGGTCACAGGTGACCACAGGTCTCTGACCACCCCCCAACTCAGGTCGATCTGTTGCCTCACCCTTTGCTCCTGTTGGCAGAAAATAAGCCAATGACACCCTCCCCTAAGAGAGGCCCAGGGAGCCCTGGTGGGCATCAGATCCAGAGGTCCCTGGAAAGACGTGATTAAAATGAAGGAAGCCAGAGCTGGTCCTCACTGAGCTCCAGCAGGGCAGGAGCTTCTCACACCCTCTGAGCAGCAGGAAGCAGGCGCTCTGGGGGCCGAAGCCTCAGGCCCAGATGAGACGGTGGGGTCTGGGCGGCCGGCACCTTCCTGCTCCCCCAGCCCTGGAGCAGACTCTAACCCAGGGCCGTGGGAATCTCACGTGATCAGCCCCAAACCTGGCGCCCAGCCAGAGTGTGGCCTGGAGCGGGGTCCTGATCCAGACAACTTCCAGGAGCTGCTTGAGCTGGGAGTGAGGAGCCTCTCCCTGGGGGCCAGGGTGCAGGAACGCACACGCCCAGGAGGCTCCAGGCAGCTCCATCCAAATCTACAGCAAGCAGGCAGCGAGCACAGGCGCCTGGCCTTCCTGCACGCACATGGACCGCTCGGGACTTGCACGAGGCCCTCGTGATGTGGGACGAAGGCGGGCGGCCTTGCTCGCCCCTGCTGCAGTGAGGGTTCCTGGGATGTCTTCTCTGCAGGGGAGGTGCTGTGGGGAGGGGCTGCTCCCTGCCCCGGGGAGTTCTGACACCAGAAGTGGAGACGTGAGGGAGCATGGCCCCAGCTGTTTATTTAGTCATTCCTTGGTTTTCTCGTGTATTCATGTGACTCCTGTAGCGCTTTGCTCATAAGCAACCGTTCCAGTCCGAGGTGCTCATAATGCAGTCCCAGGATGAGCACGTGGGGACCTGGGAGGCCAGGGCCATGGGTGGGCAGTGTCCTGGCTTTGATGCCCAGCGTCTGCCAGTTCCCGTGTGCAAACACTCCTAGCACGGCCGATTCCGAGCTGCCGACATGAGGTCACGGACACAACATCAGGACGAGACGCCCCAGGCCACAGGCTGTGGTGAGCAAATGTTAAAAAGTAAAAAAACAAAAGTTAAAATATGGCCAGGAAGTAAAAATTGTGTTGCCGAAAAATGCTTTGTCTCCGTGCTAGTTTTTCTTTGTGCACCGAGAATTATTTCCAACAGGTCCCAGCTACCGGCCACAGCTTGCTCCGGCCCAGGGAGGTCAGTGGTGGTGCCAGGAAGCTGTGATTCCCTCGTTTACAAATGAGAACATTGAGGCCTGGAGAGGTGGACAGGCTGCCGAGGCCACGTGTGCAGTGAGAAGCAGAACAGACCCACACGCAGACCTTCTGTGCAGCTGAAGGTCCCTGCCTCTCTGCCCTCTGACTGCTGCTCTGGCAAGGCCAGGTGGGGGCTGGGGACCTGGAGACGGCTCACTCCCTGCAGAAGCCACTGCCTGCTGTCCCGGGGCCGGACCTGGGGATGGCCATGCAATACCAAGTGGCCAGGAGCAGCCCGCTCTTCCTCCCTGCCTTGGCCTCCGCACCCTGGGCTCCTGCCAGTCTCCCCCTCCCCACACTCAGCTTCCTTCCTTGGCTCCCCAGGGCTTGCAGAACATTCAGGCAGGTTGGGGCAGAGCCCACAGGGTTGGCGTGCGCTCCCAGGAGCCCCCACCCAGGCCTTCTCCACTCCTTGTTTGGAAACCGCGGTGTTTGCTTTTGAAGGGCACCAGAGTGTACGCTGCACTTACAGGAGGACTGCTGATTATTTTCTTAATGGAAGAGCAAATATTTACGTCTTAGGATCTAAAGGGCAGTGTGGAGTGTGTGGGATATTGACTTTCAACTGGGAGTGGGCAGGGAAACAAACCCTTGGCTGCCTCTGGCCTTGCTCAGCCAAAATGAGCAGAGACGTCTCCCTTGGTCTAGGGGCCACCTGGGCCTCCATTAACCTGCCAACAGAGAAGGAGGGCCGAGGCGGCTGTGCCATCAACCACTCCTCAGCTTGGGGTGACTGAGCAACCCTCCATCAGCCCCCTCCTGACCACTGCTTTCCCCACGGGCTGCGACGGGGCCCAGGGTCCTTCCGCCTCTCTGGCCTTTGCTGTGCCTGAGGGTGGAAACTCTTGCTAGGTGGTCCCCCTGCAGCTCTGTCCACATGTGCTGCTGGCAGCCACCAGCCCAGCCATGTGGGGGCATGACCATCAGCCTGCCGTGTGTCGGCAAATGCAGCCTGGGCCAATGTTAGGTTATTAAGGCCAAATCCTCACCCCTCATAGGGAAGTGCACCGGGAGGCAGGGGAGGGGCTGCAGGGGAGCCCATGGGGAGAAGGAGCCTCCTAGAGACCCCCAGCATCCGCTTCCTGGGCAGGCAGGTGAGCTGCAGCCAGAGCCCCTGGGTTCGCCCAGGCCCAGGGCTTGTCTTTGGGGCCACTACACCAGCCCCACCCAGGATTGCCAGTCCGGCCCTGCTGTGGGAGCACCTGGGGTGTCCGGGGAGCAGGCTGGCCCTGACCCAAGCAGGAGATGCAGTTCAGGGGCCGGCCCCGGGGGTTAGGGGTCCTGCCGAGAAACACCTGCCTGTCTGCTGGTCACTTGGCTTCCTAACCCTATGGCAATCCTGCTGCATGCTTCTGGAAGTTTCCACCAGCAATGCCAGGAGCTCTGGGTCTGCACCTCAGCGAACTACATGGAAAAGGGCACTTGTTCTGTGGGTAACTTGTGTGTCCATGGCCCCAATTTAGAGGCAGGGTTCTCCCTGGAGCCATTGGTGGCCCTCGGTTGCTGGGGAAAGAGGGTAGCACAGTGCAGCAGCGTCCCCGCCCAGGGCAAAGCCAGGACAAGGCCTCCTAGGCCAGGAGAGAGGGAGGGCAGTGGCTCCCTGCTGGGCCGCCAGACGGAAGGTAAACAGCTCGGGGGCTGGTGGCTCCTGTCTCCAGGCAAGAATGCACAGGCCAGGAAGGTGCCTCCCCAGGGAGGGTTTTGCCCTCTGACGGCCACCCACACAGGTGGCCTCTGCTGTGGCTGAGAGGTCACGGGCTGCTGTGTTCCCTGTCCTTACCCAGCTCTGACCGCCCGGTGAACTTGGGCTGTGTACACAGAGGGGTTTCTCTGCACAGCAGTGTCATGTCCACCATGTCCCGTGACTGTCTGCCTCACATATCAGAGAAAGGTGGCTGGAGCCAGTTCTCACCCCAGGCTGCCTCTCAGGGGCAAAGGTGCCCTGGAGGGACCTCAAGTCATTGTCCTCAACTCCAGTCTTGTCCTGCCCACCTGGATCACCCTGACCCTGGGCAGTGGCCTCCTCGTCAGCCCTCAGGTGGCCGTCCTCAGCCCCTGGACACCCTGCTCTTCCATGCCCATGGAGTGCAGGGCAGAGGGACTCAGTCCCAACTGCACAGTATGAGTGTGTCCTGGAGGGGGACAGAAAAACACTTAAAATCCTGAGACACGCTCTCAGCTCTTACCCATGTGCTTGTATGTGCACACATGCATACGTGCTGTGTGCCTGTATGCGCACATTTTGCATGCATGTGTATTGTGTGCACGTCATGTGCATGTGTGAGTGCTTTGTGTGTGTGTGTGTGCATATGTATTGCATGCAGTGTGATGTATGGGTGTGCACAAGAATGTGTGAGCACATGTGTACGTGTGTGTACATGTGTGTGAGCTCATGTGTATGTTCATGTGTGTGAGCACGTGTACATGTGTACATGCGTGTGTGAGCACATATGTATGTGCCTGTGCAAGCACATGTACATGTGTGTGAGTGCATGTGTACCTGTGTATGTGCATGTGAGCACATGTGTGCGTGTGAGCACATATGTACATGTGTATGTGTGTGAGCTCGTGTTTACATACACATGTGTGAGCACGTGTACGTGCATGTGTGAGCACATGTGTACATGTGTATGTGCATGTGTGTGAGTGTATATTTAAGGATGCACAGGTCGCTCCGGCAGGCTGGCCCCGTGTGTCTGTGGAGCGGTGGGTGGAGCTCTCCAGGGCAGTCGAGGTCTCCATGGTGGCTCCCGGGTCCTAAAGGGCCCCCAGGCCTCCCCAAGTGGCTCTCAGAAGGCTCATTCCTTATAGGAGCCTTCCGCGTGCCTGTGTGGCCATAAGCCACCGCAGCAAGGGTCTTCTGAAAGGTGAGGCAGACCCTGGAAGCCAGTGCTGCAGCTCCCACTGGCTTCTGTTAAGAAACCTAGGTGAAAGGGACCCAGAGGAAATAGGACACAGACCAGGTGCCACTCACCGCCCCCCGCACCCACAGACGCCGCCCTGCATGATGCTCCTGGGGACTATCTTCACACTCCCGGGGCACGCGCGGTGCCTGCCTCACAGCCTGTGGGCATCCTGGCCTGGATTCCTGCCGTGCTTCAGGTGCCACTTGAGCCAAACAGCCAGCGACCAGACCCAAGGGGCCACCATGCCCTGGGGAACAGGGAGACGAGCAGGGTCTGGTCTGGCAGGCAGGACCTGTGGCTTCATGACACCACCGTCCCCACCAGGAGCTTCACGGTATCTGCCTCTCCCGGACCTCTGGGGAGCCCCATGCTAGCTGTCCCTGAAGAGCAGCTGATGACCTCGAATGCCAGGCCCCATGCCAGAACCCCACCTTCCCCACCTGGCTGCCTAGGACTGCCAGCTGGGGCGGCGCAGCTGCTCTGGGATCTGGAAGCTTTTGATTTGCGTCAGCACCGAGCTGGCCAGGAGGGGCTCACACTGGGTGCTCAGCAGCCGCTGCGAGTCACGGTGACATCACAGCTGTGGGAGCCCAGAGAGGGTCCTGCAGGGAGACGGGGTGGCTGCACTCAGCCCAGTGCTGAGCCCACATCCCTGTCTCCCCAGGAGCTGGGTTTTTAAAAGCAGTTTCCATGATACAAGCACCAGGTCTGGCCCCTGAGAGGAGGCAGTGGAAGCTGGAATTGTCTCTCCCAGGAAGGGCTGCCCTGAGGGCCCCCAGCAGCAGTGGGCGGGCCACCCTAATTGAGGGGCATGGCGGGAGCCCTGGCAACGGCTTGAAACCTGCAATTTCACTAAGATGAAAGGGTCAGGATGGCCTTGAAGAATGCCGCTCCATGTGGTCTCTCTAGGGCGCTCCGGGAAGCCCCAGGCGTGAGTCCAGCACTTCTTTGGGAAAGAGCCGGGTTTGGGCCCAGCTATGTGACCCACGTGTGTCCCTTCCTGGCCTCCCTTCGTCACTGACCCCTCCCACCCAGGAACAGAAGAAGATGTGAGTCATCTCTGATACCCACGCTTTATCCTTGCAAAGTCCTCCGAAGAAGGCAGCTCCCCACCCCGCCAGCCTACCCTGAGTCGGTCAGCAGCCCAGGCACGATCCAGCTGCTCCCCCCAGCAGGCTGCCCCCAGCTCCTGGCAGCAACTGCCCCTGCCAACCTGACCTGCCTCCCTCCGCTCACCTCTGCAGGCGCCCTCTGCTCTTCGGCTCACACACCCCACCTCAGCTGCTTTCTAAGCTTCAAGACGGCTCCTCTCCCCAGGCTGGAGGGCATAGGCCAGGGCCACAGCTCCCATCTGGGAAGGGGCCTCTGCTGATCATCAGGGCTGGCTGTAAACACTGAGGACAGACTCACTTGTGTTTCAAGACCCTGGGTAGAGCATCCTGGGAACATGGATCCCGTTCCCAGCCACACAGAGAGCTGGGGGCCCCTGAGGTTCCTGCTGGGGTCTGCCCAGTCCCAGGCCAGGTGGGATCAGCAGGTCCACTGACCTATAGCCCACTTGGGTGCGAGGTTGGGAGTCCTGCCTAGAGCCAGATGCCCAGACTT